CAACTATCTCCCCTATTGTCAGATCACTCTGCCACTGGCCAGAGACAAAAATTAGATCCAGCGTGTGTCCACCCGTGTGAGTGGGGGCCTGAATTAATTGGGTCAAGTCCAAGGCCGTCATGGAAGCCAAGAACTCCTGAGCTACTGCCGACGTCTCACCCGCCGATGGAAGGTTGAAATCCCCCAGGACCATAAGTCTAGGGGTCCCAACCGCCACCCCGGCTATCACATTGGCCAGCTCAGGCAGGGCTGCTGTTACATAGCAGGGAGCCAGGTATATAATCAGCAAGCCCACTTGAACCCCTTGCCCCCATTTCACAAGGAGGGACTCCACCCCGTCTATCTGAGGCACAGTGGTCTCCCTAGGACAGAGGCTCTCCCTTATGATGACCGCTACCCCCCCGCCCCTACCCCGGGTCCTCGTCCTTAAATTGTTTTTAATTTGTCTCTTCGGTAAAAAGCCGTTTTGATCTGGATGTATAAATTCAACTATTTTTTCAATCTCTCTGCCATTATTGAAGTAAAAATTTTGTAATCCACATTGAGTAATGAAATCGGTCTATAGTTCTTAATATACGTCAAGTCTGAATCTTCTTTTGGTATCAAAGTAATATTTGCTTCTATCCATGTATTTGGAAGTTTGGCCTCTAACAATAGTCCATTACAAACATCTTTCAGTGGTTCGCTAATGTATCTTGTAGATTTTTATAAAGTTCTGCCGGTAGCCCATCTGGGCCTGGTGTTTTCCCATTTTTTTGTCGTTTTATAGCCTCTAATATCTCCATCATTGTTATTCTTTCTTCTAACATAGTTTTGAATGTCTCTGGAATTTTTGGCAATTTACTTTCTTCTAGGTATTGAGCAATTCTCTCTCTTGCAGCCTCCTCTTTACCATACAATTCCTTATAATATTCATTAATTATCTTTTTTATTTCTTCCTTTTTAAATTGTAAACAACCTTTCCCATCTACTAAATTATGTATTATTTTCTTCTCTTTCTGTTTTTTTAAGCTTATAAGCTAGCCATCTTCCTGGCTTATTAGCATTTTCGAAGAAATTTTGTTTTGCTCTCTTTATTTGTTCCGCCAATTTTTCTGAGTCCAACAAATTCAGCTTATGTTTTATTATTTCCATTTCTCTTTTCAAAGTCTTTTTCTGTGGGTTTTGTTGTAATTCTGTCTCTAATTTTCTAAATTTTTCTTTTAATGATAAATATTGCTGTCTTCTCTGTTTATTTTTCTTTGCCATATACGTTATAGCTATACCTCTAAAATACGCTTTAGCTGTGTCCCATAAATTTTGTAGTGATGTATCTTCTTCTTTATTTTCTTTAAAGAAGAATTCCATTTCTCTTTTTGCCAACTCTATGAATTCTTTATCTTTTAGTATAGATTGATTTAAAATCCATCTTGGTTTTTTTTGTATTCCTTTCCATGTCACTTTTAAAGGGTTATGATCTGCCCATGTGCCTATTTCTATCTCAATTTCCTGTATATCCATCCTTAATTCAGAAGTCATCCAAATCATGTCAATTCTTGACCAAGATTTATGGCTATTTGAGTAAAAAGTATATTGTCGGTTTTGAGGATTGATTTCTCTCCAGACATCTTGTATTCCAATTTCTTCTGCCATATCAAATAATGTCTTGGGTAGTCTTCTTCTTATGGGTTTTCCTGTTTTGCTACTTTTATAATCCATTGTTCCATCTACTATCGCATTAAAGTCTCCTATTAAACAAATATTTTGGTATTCCATTTCTATTAGTTTCCTGTGTAATCTTTGATAAAATTGTTCTTGATTGTCATTTGGGGCATAAATTGCCACTAATAGTATTTGTTTTTTATGTAAATACATTTCAACCATTACAATTCTTCCTTCTTCATCTGAGTATATTAATTTAGACTCTATTGTCTCTTTAACGTATACAGCCACCCCTCGTTTCTTTTGTTGTGCTGATGTGTAATGAAGCTTCCCCATTTTCGGGTATTCCAACAGTTTATAATGTTGTTTTTTTATGTGTGTCTCTTGTAAACAGATTATATCTATGTTTAATTTCTGAAGTTTCCTAAAAATTTTATTTCTTTTTGATGGGGAGTTTAGTCCATTTACGTTTACTGAAAAAAATTCTTTTTTTTTTCTCCATTTCCTCTTTCATTACTTAGATTTTGGTCTAGTCGATCTTGTAGTCCTTTGTTCTCTGGCAGTTCCTTCTCCTTCACCTGTTTGTTCACCTTTCTCCTTCTGTTGTTCTGCTTGTGCCATTGCTCCTTGGGCCGTCTCTCCCATCTGCTTATCTCCTTGTTGTTGATGCAGTCCTTCATCCAAGATTGCTCTATTTCTTACTTCAAAGTCCTCTGCTTTCCATATTGAATCCAGTCGATATCTTGTATTATTCCAGTTTATTAAAAAGCCTTCTGGCATTAGCCATCTGAAATTTATGCCTTTGGCAATCAAGATATGTTGATCTTCAATTACCATCCCTCCTAGCTGGCATAGCTGCTATGAGCGGTAGCAGTAGACCATGCAGGCTGGGAATTCTGGGTGTTGAAGTCCACAGGTCTAAAGATTGGTGAGATTGAGAAGCACTGCTGTAGAGCAATGTTTCTCAACCTTGACCACTTTAGACTGCGTTGCCTTCAACTCCCAGAATTCCCCAGTCAGCCTTTTTTCTTCCTGGCTGGGGAATTCTGGGAGTTGAAGTCCACGTAGCTTAAGGTGGCCTCACTTTAGAAACACTGCTGATACAGAAAGCATTGATGGGGCAAGGTAGTTCTAATATGCATCATTGTAGGCCTATGGAGACATGACAGCAAGAGGAATTCACACTGTATCCAAAAGCACTCTTTTGTCCATTGACATGCCCATCCTGATGAGATCACAGCAAAAAATGTAGAAGCCATTCTGAGGAATCACAAATCTGGGAAAACCAAGAAAAATGTTATAGTATTGTCATCTTCCATAAAGAATCCAAAATTCAAACTCCGCTCACTCAAGCGCCATCTAGTGGCAAAAAGCACAGTCCATACTGAGGTTGAGAAAATAAAGTTATGCATTCTTGTTATTACGGTAGCATTCTGTCTTTCCGATTTTTTTTTTTAATAAATTTTTATTAATTTTTCATTTAAAAACAGTAGCATAAATCTGTCTTTCCAATTTTTAATTTTCATTCTTTCGGTATTTCTAAGTAAATGGATTTGTCAGGAAAATATTGGCAGTCCTCAACCTGCAACCATTTGTTTAGTTCAAACCATTTGTTTGGTTCACTCAAAGTGACAATGACACTGAAAAAAGTGACCTACAACTGCACCTTGAACTTGCAACAGTTGCAGCATCCCCATGGTCACCTGATCAAAATTAAAGTACTTGGCATCTGGCATGTATTTATGACAGTTGCAATGTCCCAGGGGTCATGTGATTGCCATTTGCAACCTTCCCAGCTGGCTTCCAACAAGCAAAGTCAAGCTGGATTTGCTTAACGACCACATAATTCATTTAACAACTGCAGTCATTCCCTTAACAACTCTGTCAAAAAAAGGCTATAATAAAATCAGGCATGAGTCATTTAACAACCACCTTGTTTAGCAAGCTGTTCCCAATTGTGGTCATAGGTTGAGGACCAGCTGTAGGCCAGTGAAAGTCAGCAATTAAAATACAAAGTACTTAAATGAACAGGAGCAGGTTTGTACCATTGTACCTCACTTCCATAAATATCCTCTCTCAAAATCTGAAATTTGGGAGGGGGGCGAGTAAGAGCAGCAAGTGCAGCTGGCCTTTATATGTCCTAAAATGTGGTTGCAGGGAGCATTTTGGAAATAATACATTATTTAAATCTGCAGTATGAGGAAGAGGAAGAGGAAGAGGAAGAGGAGGAATACATAGAGGAGGAAGAACAGGAGACCATTGTGGAAACAAAAAAGGCACCAGTGGCTCCCAAACCTGCCCCTCCTCCTCCTCCTCCTGCAACAGTGCCTCCCCTACGCCGAAAATCATCTGCCAATTACCGGGCCTACGCCATTGAGCCGCACGACAAGGTGAGTGCCAGTGTCTTTTCCAGTTGAATCGAAAAAGAGAAATGCAGAAATACCCAGGGCAAGATTAAGGATTGGGGGCTCAGGAGATCAAAGGGGAAACCCATTGTTTGAAGGGAGAGGGGGGAAGAAATGCAGAAATGGAAACAATACACCCCTTGTGTTTGGGTCTCTGTATGGGTGTGTCTCTGTGTGTTTTTGGAGAGAAAAGCAAATTTATCATCATGCATGAAAACAATACACCAAGGTGAGCAGTCTCCCAATATCTCAGGGCTGCCACAAAGAAGAGGGAGTCAAGCTATTCTCCAAAGCGCCTAAAGGCAGAACAAGAAGCAACAGATGGAAACTAATCAAGGAGAGAATCAATCTAGAACTAAGGAGAAATTTCCTGACAGAACAATTTATCAATGGAACAACAGGGGGTTGGACTAGAACGCCTCAAAGCTCCCTTCCAACTCTGTTATTCTATTCTATTCTAACTCCCAGAATTCCGCAGCCAGCATGGCTGGCTGGGGAATTCTGGGAGTTGAAGTCCACAGGCCTTAAAATTGCCAAGGATGGACACACTTGATTTAGACTAATCCCATCTATTATTTTATTTAGAAAGAAATTAAACCCACTGGACAAAGCAGATTGTATTTTATTTCCTATCTCTCCTTTCCTCTAAGTCAGGGGTTCCCAACCCCCGGTCCGTGGACCGGTACCAGGCCGCAGCATGCCAGCAACCGGTCCGCACAAACAAGCAAAGCCCCATCTGTGGGATGCAGGCAGCACACAAAACCACGCACTCTCCGGTTCACGTAAAAACATTTCTCCATGAAACTGGTCCCTGGTGCCCAAAAAGTTGGGGACCTCTGCTCTAAATGAAAATTTGTCACTTGATGTTAAGATCAAGTGATCTTTGTCACTTGAGCATTAACCAGGCCTAAACCAAATCAGCTGGTTCTATTTTTCTCCTTTCCTATTAAACTGCTCCCCATGTTATGTCCAGGATAAGCAATTATCACTGTAACTTTAGGAAATCCAAACTGAGCACCATCTGTTATGTTTGGTGTTCTGTGAGGCATCCACGAGGCAGCAGGTGAACAAACAACTCTTTATTAAAGGTTTAAACAGAAGCCTGGATAACTGCAGCTCAACCCATGTTTATACACTCAACAGCTAGGTGGCAGCCAATAGGATTCAAGTATTAGTTCCCGCTTTAACACAAGATAATTAGCATGTAGACAGCAAGTCTGGCTCTTAACTGACAGTCTTATGACCATTTTTTTCAACAATTCCAAGTAATTCACCTCAATACATTACACCCCTTTCCCCTAGATAATTCATAAGGTCATATGTTGAACATAGTCCCTTAAATACGTTGGTGGCCTTTTCGCCCATTCCGAACGCCTCGGAACTGCTGGAGGCCCCTGGTCTGTCAGCTCGCCTGCCAGGCTTGGAAGACCAGGGCTATAAGACCCATCCATCACGGGTAGATTCGAGTCTCTGTGGCTGGGCTGTCCTGGTAGGCCCGAGCCAGTGTCCACAGGTGGAACAGAGTCCACCAGTCCTGAAAATGGAGCCGTCAGCTGGCATTGTCCATTGGTTGTGGTATCAGTGGTTGGGACTGACTCACCAGACGCTTGAGTCTCGTCCCCTCGTTGAAGAGCTCCACTGTCACTGGCAGAGTCTGATGCACTACTGCCATTGTGCTGCTCCTGAGTTTGACTGTCACTAGAGTCATGAGTTATTGGCTGGTTTGCTAACCTCCGCTGCAGTTGGTCAATGTGCCTGCGTAGCACGCAACCGTCTTCCAGGACCACTTCGTAAGAAAGTGGCCCAGTCACCTTACAAACCACAGTTACCACCCACAGTGCCCCTTGCCTGTAGTTCCTCACCCAGACCGGGTAGCCAACTTGCAAGTGCCGTGGTGCCTTTGGCTGTGTTGCTTGTGAGGCAACTCTATCTGGATGTAGGCGATCCAGCTTTGTGATCAAACGCCGGCCCCATCTTAATTCTGCTGGGCTTCTGCCCATAGAAGTGCATGGGGTTGTACATTGGCAGAGTAGAAAATCTGCCAGTCTGTGTTGCCAGTTACCTGTGACTATCCGCTTTAAGGATTCCTTCATTGTTTGGACCATGCGCTCCGCTTGGCCGTTCGAAGCCGGGTGAAAAGGGGCTGATGTGGCGTGTCTGATCATATTTGCCCTTAAAAAGGACTGAAATTCTGAAGCAGTAAATTGAGCCCCATTGTCAGAGACAATCACGTCAGGTAACCCGTGTGTGGCAAAAATCCTGCGCAGCTCCTGGATGGTCCTGGCAGTAGTCATAGTGGGGACAGGTGCAACCTCTAACCACTTGGAGTGACTGTCCACCACAATGAAGAAGAGTTGTCCCTGGAAAGGCCCTGCATAATCGATGTGGATCCTGGACCAGAGGGCATGTGTGGTTTCCCATCGGTGGACAGGGGCATGGGGCATCTCTGGCCTAGATTGCTGGCAAATTTGGCAGCTGTGTACCTGAGCCTCAATATCTTTGTCCCCCTGTGAGCTGACAACTCATCCTTTCTCCTGCTGAAACTCTGAAAATTTGGCCCGGGACTATTTTCTGGCCATCCTGTGAGCACCCAGTTCAGCACACGGCTCAGCGTCGTGTCTGAAGCTGTCTCTGCAGCCACGTCCCCTGCGTTAAGGGGAGACTCAGGCAGGTCCTGAATAGCCAGGATGCGCATGGCTGGAGCGGGGTCGGGCTCTAACTGCGGCAGGGGCAGTCTGCTAAGGCCGTCTGCGTGGCCCATGTCTCTACCTGGTTTATGAATCAAACTATAATTATACGCTGACAAGAATATTAACCACCTCAACATCCTAGGAGATATGATCTGGGGTGTTTGCTTGTTCGTTGTGAACAACCCCAGGAGTGGCTTGTGATCTGTGAAGACTATGAAGGGCCTACCATATAGATAGTCATGCAACTTCTTGATCCCTGCCACTATGGCCAAGGCCTCTTTATCTATTTGAGCGTAATTACACTCTGCAGAGGACAAGGTCCTCGAATAATAGGCTATTGGAATTTGCCTTCCGTCAGCCATTAAATGACTCAACACAGCCCCAACCCCATATGGTGATGCATCACAAGTGATGCAGACAGGCAGCTTTTTGTTAAAATGCATCAAAACTGAATTTGAAGACAGCAGTGATTTGACTGCTGAGAAGCTCCTATCGTGGACGCTGGTCCACTTCCACTGTGCATGTTTGTCCAAGAGCCGGTGTAATGGCTCTGCCACTGCGGCCTTGTGAGGTAGGAAGGCATGATAAAAATTGAGCAGTCCAAGAAACGCTTGGAGCTCCCCCTTTGATTTTTGGACTGGGGGCCTGCTGAATTGCTTTGAGCTTGGATTCAGCAGGATGAATGCCTTGGGCATCTATACGGAAACCGAGGAACTCAGTTGAAGCTACCCCAATCTTACATTTCTCCCACTTCAGCTTCAGCCCCGCTTCACAGAAGCGCTGAACGACGGCCTTGAGCCGTTCTGCCAATTTTTCGACTGATTCCCCAGCTATGAGGACATCATCAAAATATGGGCACACATCTGGAATACCCTTGACCGTGCGCTCCATCACTCCCTGGAAAAGGCCTGGGGCAACACTGACCCCGAATTGTTGGCGCTTAACCTTGAAAGCTCCTCTGTGAGTAACTATGGTTTGAGCTTCCGCCATGGCATCATCCAGCAGCAGTTGCTGATGGGCTTGAGCCAAATCTTACTTGGCAAAGATGCGACCTCCCTGTAGTGATGCCAAAATGTGGCTGACTACAGGCACCGGATATACGTGTTGTTGGAGTGCTCTATTGATAGTGCACTTGTAATCTGCACATATTCGCACCTCTCCATTGGCCTTAAGTGGCGTAACTATGGGGGTTTCCCATTGACTGCTATCAAGTGGCTCCAGGATGCCTTGCTGCACCAGCTTGTCCAGCTTTGCATTGATCTTCTGCTTGAGGGCGAAGGGCACTCTACGCGGCTTGATCCGTATTGGAGTTATGGCAGGATCAAGCCGAAGAGCTATGGGAGGACCCTTATATTTCCCTAAGTGAGGGCTAAAAACGTCAGCAAACTCCCGGCAAACTGCCGCTAAGTCCACTGCTTGTGTGCTGTTTATTCTAGTTACATTGATTCCCAATGCATCAAACCAATCAAACCCAATGAGGCTTGTGCAGTTGCCCTCAACTACTACGACTTCCAGGGGGCCCTCAAATCCCTTGAAGTGCACCCTGAGTGTAGCTTCCCCCTTGACTGTTACTCGGGAGTTTTGGAAATCGGTTAACACGAGGTTCGACGGCTTGAGCTTAACTCTTTTGCCGCTGCGACTGCAAATGTGTTTGAAAGTCCCCTGGGAAATTATGGATAATGCGGACCCCGTATCTAGTTCCATGTTGCATGGAACTCCCTGCAGCTTGACTTTGAGCCGCAGTTTTTCCTTAAGAGGGCGATGGGCACCTGTTCTAAGTACGCTCCTCCTAGTGGCACAATAGCCCACCCTGTGTTGCCCTGGGGCCCCGGTACCTTTCTGGGGAAACTCTTCTGGTGGACTCTGTCTCCGACGACCCTGACAGACTGTGGCGATGTGGCCTTGCTTGCCACACGCCCAACACGTTGCTGTGCGGAACCTGCAGTCCACGCATTTGTGTCGGCCTCCACACCCCGCACATCGAGAGAAGGGAACTGCCTTGTCAACTGGGCGTTGTGGCCTTCTTTCTGGTGGCTGCTGTAACCGGTTGACCTCTTGATCCGATTCGGAGTCTTTGACCCTCTCAGTGCCCTCCTGGTGGACGGCCTCTACACAGGGAGTGCTCCTGGAGAGCCGCAAGGCCTTGACGGCCCCCCCGGCAGCTTCTTCAGCTGTGATCTCCCGTAGGGCATCTTGAAATGAAATAGTCTCTTTAGCGAACAATTTCTGTTGGAGATCCCTGCTTCTTAACCCGCACACTAAGCGGTCTCGCAGCCTCTCTTCAAGATCTTTGAACTCGCAGGGTCAAGCCGCTTGAGGAAGAGCAGCTATGAATTCTGCAGCCGATTCGCCCAGTCGTTGGTCTCTTCATTCGAAGGCGTGCCTCCAGGCAATGACTGATAGCTTCGGCTCAAAGTGTTCTTTGAGCATTTTCTTAAGATCTGAATAAGCAACAGATTCAAGCAGAGCTGGAGCGACTAAGTTTTCGGCGATTTTGAACGTTGTCTGGCCACAAACGCACAGCAGCGTTGCGGCCTTCAAACCGTCCTCACGAACTTGGTTGACTCTCAAGTAGTTCTCGACTCTCGCGACGTACGAGCTCCACCTCTCTGGATGTGCGACGTCGAATTCTGAGAGTTTTCCGAGTTTAGCCATGGTGAGTTGTTTCCGTTGTTTTCGGCCCCGCAATGCCTTGTGCTGCCAAGGCTTCTTTTAAGCTTCCAGGGATGGTTCCTGGGAGCACTCTTCCTCCAGCATTTCCGTACTGGCAGGAATGAGGGGGGGGAACACGGCCCCCAACCAAGGTGTTGTCGCTCGGCTTACCCCCTTAGTGACTCAGCTCTTCGAGTTTGGCAGCACATCCCACCTTCATCGCCACTGTTATGTTTGGTGTTCTGTGAGGCATCGACAAGGCAGCAAGTGAACAAACAACTCTTTATTAAAGGTTTAAACAGAAGCCTGGATAACTGCAGCTCCACCCATATTTATACACTCAACAGCTAGGTGGCAGCCAATAGGATTCAAGTATTAGTTCCCACTTTAACACAAGATAATTAGCATGTAGACAGCAAGTCTGGCTCTTAACTGACAGAGTCTTATGACCGTTTTTTCAACAATTCCAAGTAATTCACCTCAATACATTACACCATCTTTCCCATGTGTGAAATATGTCTCTCAATCTCTCTTTTTTTGTTCTACCACAGATAAAATGCAAGATATCAGCTTCTCGGAAATTGCAACTCAAGGTGATGTGGAAAAAATGACTTCCTGGGTATTAGAACAGTTAGAAAAGTACACAAGGGACTAAACACCTCTGGGGGCACATCTGGCAAGTTTCTAGGAGATAGGAAGGCAAAACGTAGTACACGTAGTCCTTGATTTACAACCATTCATTTAATGATCATTTGAAGTTACAAAGGCACTGAAAAAAGTGACTTGTGACTCTTTTTCACCCTTATGACTGTTGCAGCACCCCTGTGGTCACATGATCAAAATTTGGACACGGGCAACTTCAACAGTTGTGACCTTCTGACAAGCAAAGTCAAGGATTCACTGATTCGCTGAACAACTGCGTTACTAACTTAACAACTGAAGTGATTCACTTAACAACTATGGCAAGAAAGATCGTAAAAGGGGTCAAAATTCACTTAACAACTGTCTTGCTTAGCAACAGAAGTTTGGGGAATCAATTGTGGTTGTAAGTCGAGGACTACGTGTAGTGTATAGACCCTGGTGGAAAAGAGGTACAGTAGATCAGATTCCAAGAGAATAGAACACCCATACAACCACACCTACCCACACACATACTTGATGCAAATAGTTGGTAGGGAGGAACTCTTGACAAAATGGACTTGCCCAACCTAAATGCCCTCCAGATCTGTGATTCAACACCCAGAATTCTTGGCTTAGTATGAGCATCATTCACCATCCTCGGGGTCCATCCATACTTCTGCAGAGTCCCTTGGAAAAGAAAAGCTAGCTTAAGCCTGGTATATTCATCGGGTTGAAGGTTGACGTTATATCTGCAAGTAAGATATAAGCCCAGCTCATTGATCCAAACTATTGTCTTTTCACCCAGTCACTGATGCTCCAAGTGGCTAAGAAGGAAATGGAAAAGGAAGAAGAAGAACGCTCCCAGGACAAAGAGCGATTTCTCTCCGACCACTGCATCCCATTAGAAATGGCAGGATTCGGCTTCACAGAACTGCAGGTCAGCATAGAAGTGGGGAGAATGAAGGAGGGAGAAAGCAGACCAAATTGGAGAAGATCTGCTTCTTGGGTTTAGTGAAGTCATCCTTCTCTGAACTGTTGCTCTCCAGATGTGTTGGGCTTCCCGTGAAAAGTCTCTAGTTTGAAGAAAGATAAAGACAGATGCCAGATGAAAGGAAAACTCTAAAGTGTATCTTTGATTCTCAGGGTAAACTATCTTAGATGTTGGCTTAATGTTAGGGAAGGTGATAAGCTCCTTGAGGACAACACTATGCATTTGCTACTCAACTTGCTTTGCACCAGCAGTTCTCAAGCAAGAGTTGGACATCCCATCACTTGCAGCATGATCCACATTCCATAGAAAGATAACGTAGCTTTAGAAGAATCCACCGTTAAAATTCTCTTGTAAGCCTATGCTCAAAATTAGCTTTCTTCAAACTGTTGCACTCCAGGTATATGAACCGGAGGTGGGATTTGTAGGACAACACAACTGGAAGGGCAGCTGATTCTTCTGTTCGATTCGGACTATTCTAAGAGATTCTTAGCTTTGAGAAAAAATATATAATTGTGGGTATTAATGGAATTAAATTAAAGAGCTCTGGTGGCGCAGTGGTTAGAATGCAGTACTGCAGGCTATTTCTGCTGACTGCCAGCTGCCAGCAATTCAACAGTTTGATTCTCACTGGCTCAGGGTTGACTCAGCCTTCCATCCTTCCGAGGTCGGTGAAATGAGGACCCATCTTGTTGGGGGCAATAGGCTAACCCTGTAAACCGCTTAGAGAGGGCTGTAGAGCACTGTGAAGCGGTATATAAGTCTAAGTGCTATTGCTATTGCTAAATCTCCAAGATTTCTCCAAAAGTGTTTTGAAATTATTGTCTTCTTTTTTCTCCAGTTAGACCATTCTGATTTACTGTAAGTGGTTGATGTCTTTAAAAAAATAGTTGTATGGCTCATCACTCAGTAGCCTTGCAAATGCACTTTGCACTCGTTCAGGAACACCCTGTTCTTTGTTAGTTTTGAATCTGATCTTTGATTTGGCTTTCAAAGTATACTACCTTGTTTCCTACAGGAGTTATGTCAGCAGCTGCATGCACAAATTGACAAAATTGATGAGGAGCATTATGACATGGAGGCCCGGATCAATAAGAGCATCAACGAGGTGAGTTTCTGAACATGGGCCTTGGGGGGCCCACAATTGTCTTTACGGGGCCTGTGATGACCCAGGGCACAGCACAGAGGCAATGCAGTCAGCTGGCAATTCAAACAGTTCTTTTATTGCTCCAAATTTTTCCCAAATGCTCCCACGTTTGCTGGCAAGCCTCCAACAAAAGAATACACACACACCCCTTCAGTCAACTCTGGCTGAAAGTAGGTTCGAATATAGTCTGATTAGCATAAGAAAGTACTCAAGGCCATAGAGATAACAAGGAAGAAAACATAAACTTAATGAGTCTGTTTGAATCCTAGCTTGCCTGAGCAATTTTCAAAAGAGAGAATCTGAAATACAGTCCGATAGTCAAAGTTTCCAGGTTTCCAAACAGAAGTCACAGATCAGCAGCAATACACAACACTCCAAGGAATCAGCATTTGTTCCCGACAAATGCCCCTCCCCACAGCGTCTCCTTAAATCTCAATCTCCAGGTGTTCCTTGTGGAGAAGGGCGGTACACTCTCCTCCCTAGTAATTGAGCCTGCCTGCATTGTTCCCTCCTTCTCTCCACTCTCCGTGCTCTAGGATCAGATGGGGGTGGTCCTTGCTCATTGCCTGAACTCTGCCTCTCCTGTTCCTCCTGTTCCAATCCTGAAGGGCCCTGGCCTGCCTCGGCCTGCTCTTCCCCACTTTCCTCTGAAGCCACAGACACCTCTCCCTCAGCCTCCATAGGGACCCATTCCAGTTCATTTTCCTCCGCAGATTCAGGCTCAGACGGAGGCATGACAGGGCCTCACTTGCGGATCTCGTTCATATAAGATAGAAAGAGAGAGCTAAGTGTATTTCAGATGAAGGATTTGGCCAATGGAATTTGTCATTTTAATGACAGTAATGGGGAAATGCAAAACACAGCCTAGTCTTTTTCGCCCAGCTTAAAAATAATCACTTAGGGCCACTGATTTGAGTAAATCAAATCAGGAAAAGCTGGAATATATGCCACTTTGATGTTCTTGGGAAGAAGGGTGGATTTTAAAAACAACCACAATATGCCCATGGCTTTTTTATTATTATTATTATTATTATTATTATTATTATTATTATTATTATTATTATTATTATTATTATTATTATTATTATTATTATTATTATTTATTGAATTTATATACCGCCCTATCTCCCTTACGGGACTCAGGGCGGTGAACAGGCGATAATAAAAACCACAATAAATATACACAAGTTTCTGTTCTAAAATCAAATTAAATAACAGGCCTGCTCTAAAAGTACCCCATACAAAACCCCCACTAAAACAATCAAACTACGCCAGGCCGGCCGCACGGAATAGATGGGCCTTCAGGGCTCGGCGAAAAAGGCGCAGGTCCGCAACTGTACGTAGGTCGGGGGGTAGGTCATTCCAGAGGGCAGGAGCTGCCACAGAAAAGGCTCTCCCCCTGGGGGTCGCCAGCCGGCATTGTCTGGCCGACGGCACCCTAAGAAGGCCCTCTCTGTGGGAGCGGACTGGTCGAAGGGAGGTGTTTGGTAGGAGGTGGTCTTGCAAATACCTAGGTCCATTGCCACGGAGCACTTTAAAGGTTGTTACTAACACCTTGAAGCGCACCCGGAAGGCCACAGGCAGCCAGTGCAGCTCGCGCAGGAGAGGTGTTACATGGGAGTATCTAGAGGCCCCCAGGATCCCCCGCGCGGCCGCATTCTGAACTAGCTGGAGCCTCCAGGTGCACCTCAAGGGGAGCCCCATGTAGAGAGCGTTGCAATAGTCCAGGCGGGAAACAACGAGGGCTTGAGTGACCGTGCGTAGAGCGTCACGATCCAGAAAGGGGCGCAACTGGCGTATCAGGCGAACCTGATGAAAAGCCCCCCTGGCCACGGCCGTCACATGGTCGTCTAAAGACAGCCGAGTATCCAGGAGGATGCCCAGGTTGTGGGCCCTCTCCGCGGGGGCTAATGACTCGCCCCCGATAGCCAGGGATGGAGCCAACTGGCTATGTCGTGACGCCGGAAACCACAGCCACTCAGTCTTGGATGGGTTGAGTCGAAGCCTGTTCCTCCCCATCCAGACTCGCACGGCCTCCAGGCACCGGGACATCACTTCCGCGACATCGTTGGGGTGGTCCGGGGTAGAGATGTACAGCTGGGTGTCATCGGCGTACTGATGAAACTCCACCCCGAAACCACGGATGATCTCACCCAGTGGTTTCATATAAATGTTGAACAGGAGAGGCGAGAGGACCGACCCCTGTGGTACCCCACAAGTGAGGTTTGCAAAGTGCAGAAAAGGTGTAAGAAATAATAAGCCAGGGGAAAAAACAAATGGCATGAGATTAGAATAAAAGGGAGCTTAGATAAGCCTAGTTTGCATCAGTAACATTTACTATACCTCTCCATATCATTCTGTCCTTGAAAAGCATTCTAGTTTCTTCAACCGTGTCCACCTGCTACTTTCCATTTTGACTTTTCAGAATTTTCACCTCTCCATTTTTGAGGATCTCGTCAGCTGCATCCTGGATTCAGTCATGGGTGTCTCAATCTTCTCTTTCTCATCGCTTAGTTACTCTTCTTTTGTTTTGCAGTTTAATACTCATTCATTTCCTGTATGTGACCAAATCACCTCAGTGTACTTTTTCATACTGACTATTATTTTTTTCCATTCAGTCCACATTTCGTCAGAGCCATCCCTTCTATTTCTAGTTTCATTTCTTTCATTTTTTTTCCTGTCACATCCATTTTTTCCCAAGCTCCATGCTTGATATTACTAGGAGCCTTCTAAGAAGATCTGAGAAGAAGATCTATGCAGTCACCATTTTCATTCATTCTTGGGGATTGGATTGCCCCAATCGCTTTTTCTGTAATTCTGTAATTCCATTACTGCATTTGCACCCACCCATTCGTATAATTTAGAATTAAGAATAATTTTTACCCTGCATGCAGTTATTGCCAACCTATAGGTTTCTATTTTCAAATGCACCTACAAAAGCTTTAACTCTTTCACACATCATTAAACCTACATCTTCAGAGTTCTTAGTGCTCTCAGAACTTGGCTGTTTGCTTGAAAACATTTCATTACCCTATTAGATAAGACCATCAGTGCTAATGAGTGGAGAGTTTGATGTCAGGAGGACCCAGCAGACCAAAGATCTTGCTAGGGCAGTGTTCTACAAACTTGGCAACTTTAAAATGTGTGGACTTTAACTTCGTCTAGTATGCTGGCTGGAGAATTCTGGGAGCTGGATTGCTGAGGTCGAGAAATACTGATTTACAGTTTCAGAATGTTCTTTATGTAAGACAGTTTATGGGAAAGTTTGAGGAGATCTGGAAGGACAGTGCAACATTTCACTCCTAACTGAAGGGTTCTTCGTATAACTGGGCTTTCCTCACCTCTTTCAAATGTGTTGAGACCGGAATTCCCAATCACCATCACTCAGGGTATTGTTGTCTACCCATCTGAAAAGCATCCAGTTGGGGACAACTGTGAATATTTCAAATGTGTTAACAGACTGTCCATTCTGGCTCCAGATCCAAGATTTGAACCAGAAGATTTTTGACCTACGAGGCAAATTTAAACGCCCTGCTCTTCGCCGGGTGCGTCTCTCAGCTGATGCCATGATGCAGGCCTTGCTTGGCTCCAAGCACAAGGTCTCTATGGATCTGCGGGCCAACCTCAAACAGGTCAAGAAAGATGACATAGAGAAGGTGAGCCTGGAAGGATCAGCAGCCAAGAGTCAGGGGGAGGGAAGACGAAGTGGACAGATGGTAGCTTCAGAGTCATTCAGCACCTTGATTTAGGAAAAGAGTGAGCAATCTTTGTTAGCTAGAGACTCTGCTTAGCCTTTGAGGGTTGTTGTTGTTGTTTTTTTGCATGGTTTGGAGTTTTTAGTGGATAAAGAGTCATTTAAACTCTGACTCATCCCCAAAAGAGCAAATTTAGTCTTTTGGGATAGTTTGAATATATTTTATCCCTCAACCCTCTTCTCTGGAGGCCCTGCAGACCGTGAATGGGGCGTTACAGCCCCTTGTGGCCTCCAAAAATTTCCCATTCCTGGTCTAAGATCATTGTGAGGTGTTCTGAGGTGACTGAACTGCCCAAACTTTGCATACTTGCCTGCTTATTTACTTACAGCCTGACTGATCATTCATTGGTGGTGAATAATTTCCAGCCACAAATTTCCCATCAGTGACGTTGTATGTCAAAGTCTTAAATTTAGTTCTTGGCACCTTGGGCTACATTTTACCAGCATGGCAGCAACCTCTTTGTTTTTATTACCCATAAATAGCAATCATAAAGTTCACTTGGGAGGAAGAAAATCGATTTAGATGGGCAGTAAACCCTTTCTCCAATTCCTGGCTTTCATAAAAAGTTCAACACTCCTTCCAAAACTGCAGGAAAGTTCACAGGTAAAGGGTCACAAAAGTCAAGATGGCAGCCACCACAATGCAAAAAACCCTTTTCATATGTATTATGACCGCGATCTTATGTATGTATGTATGTATGTATTTCTCAGCCATAGTAATTTTAAGACATGTGGACTTCATTCTCATGCTGGCTGGAGAATTCTGGGAGTTGAAGTCTGTGCATCTTAAAGTTGTCAAGGTTGGGAAACCCTGGTATAAAGGAACATGTATAAAGTCTACTTGGGGAAAGGGAAATAGTTGGGCTGATTTTGAGTTTTGAAAAACCTTTGCATTTCAAGAATGCATGTAGTAGCACCTTTCCTTTCTTCGGTCTGAGTACTTATCCAACCAAGACCGCAACTTAAAAAATGTGGAAAGATATCTCATAACCACAGAGATCCCTCTGGTCTCATCCAGAGAAGTGAACGGTGCAAAATTCAGGAACATCCAACTACATCACTGGGCACAAGTGATCTTTCCAAATTTGGAGGGGGGTGTGTAGAATGCTTTTCCGGGGGAAGGAGAACATTGTCAACAATAAGAATCTCTCTTAGCTGTGAAAGGAATTCCATTCATTAAAGTTTCCTGTGGCTTACTTTGATGATTCCACAAAGCAATGGGAAACCAGGCCTTCTATGGCACAGCAGTCATGGTCATGGGCTGTTTAAGAACATCAAAACCCAGATTGTAGTCCATTCTCAGCTTTAGAAGCTCCCTGAGGACCAGCCACTGTCTCCCAACCAATCACATGGGGTTGGTGTGGGGAAGAACATGAGGAAGGAAAGCTGTGTAAGTTGCTCTGAGTTCAAATAAATAAAAACATAAATGAGCTAACAGGACCCAAGTTACTCCTCCCACAAAGCCTGGGACTCCACTGATTTCCTGATTCTTGGTCTCTCCCCACCCCAGGAGAATTGGGAAGTAGGTGACTGGAGGAAGAATATCGATGCTCTGAGTGGCATGGAAGGGCGCAAGAAAATATTTGAGACCTCAGTCGCAGGACAGGCCTGAGGCACACAAGGTGAGAGAAATTCCTTCAGGGATGTATGCATTGAAATACAAATAGTCTTCAACTTACCGCCATTTGTTTAGCGATCGTTTGACATTACAACAGCACTGAACAAGGTCATTGA